GGCTTCAGCTTGCGTGCCGGGACGGCTCCAGCCTCTGAGCAAAGTCATTCAACCCCCAGGAGCTGAGGCGCACTGTCTGCAGAGGCAAGGATGTGATTCATGGGAGACTTCTTGTTGTGCATCTCCAGCAAGTCTTGAATGAAACCCGAGGGCCTCTCGTGCTCCGAGCTGCCCCGAGGCTCCTGGTCTTTTGCGGTCTGTTTCTGTGTGCTCTTGGTGGGCTCCACCAGGCAGGCGCCGGCTCCTCGCCCGCTCGGCCTCTCCTCTCTGCATGGGGAGAGGCCCGGGTCCGTGCCGGCCAGGGGCTCTTTTCGGCTTCCCGTGAGGGATGATGTTTGGCCACCGATGCCCCCTGCAGAGTCGCACTCGTTTTCTGAGATGGGGTTGGCACCACTGTGGCTAGACTCGTTCTCGCTGTCTTCTCCACACCTTGACTGCGTCTCCTCCTTGTCGCTCTCCTTCCCATGGTTTCGGGTGGTTTTGACTTTCTGGTGTATGCGCTGGTGGCGAACCAGGCTGTGTTTCAGAGTGAAGGTCCGTTCACAGGTTTGACACTTGTAAGGTCTCTCACCTAGAAGACAAGCAGAATACAAAGTCAGCAATTAGGTCACAAACGCACCTCCCTCTTGTTTCAAGCAGCATAGACACCCTGTGCTTTGGAAATTCAGTACCTGTATCAAACATGGATGTTTGCCTTTATGCAGACTTTTTGCTTCTGTACTAGCAAACTAGCCGAGGGCACGCAAGCAGGAATACAGATAAATCTCCTGGGGCACAAATCAAAAATCAAAACTAAGTATCTTGAGATTTCTGCGAGCTTAGTATGGTCCTGCACTAAGGAGGGAGAAAGAACGCAAGCCCCAGGTGCATCCTGCCTAATTCAGTCACCAACTTTTCTGGAAGAAGTTTTCACTTTGTCCTCTGGAGAAAAAGTGAAAAGGCCTTTGTGAAACCAGCCCACGATGGGGTCTCCCTACTGCAGGTCAGGCTCTGATATACGCGGAGAGAGAGGACTGCCCAGGTAACTCTGGTCCACAGCTCTTACAAACTGAACTGAACTGAACAGCACGTGAGAAAACATCTCTCCTCTCTCAGATGCTGACACATGGACAGAAATGCACAGATTAACCACCAACTTTGAAGAGAAGCTGTCAGGAACTACCCTTGCCACAACAGCCCCTCCTCCTTCTGTGAAGCAGAAGAAATTATCACCACACTTCAAAACAGACACAGAGCAGCTAAAGGACTTAGACTTGTCAGGCATTTATGGGACACGGGAGGTGTCTGTTAGAGGTGATCAGAATTCACTGTCCAAGTGAAAAATGCCTGCCTCAGAATGTTATTTACAGAGCTGCTGGTGTTGCTCAGCCCTCTGGTGTGTTAGGACTGGAGTGACTTGTGAAAGCCCCTGAAAAACCTCCTCCATGCACATGCCAGAAATGCTACTTGCAGGACAAAATCCCTCCTCTTATTTTGGACTCTCAAGCCAAGAGCAGCTGCAGGCATCCTCTACTGTAACCAACTGATAATCTGCTCCGCTCTCAGAGCTGCTTTTTACACCTGAGACACTTGCATGCTTTCCTAAGCAGGAGGCTCATCAAAAACAAAGCAACCACAGCCCTGGAGACAAAATTCTCCCAAGTCCCAACCAAGCACAGTGCCCCAAGGTACTGCCAGCCCTGAAGAACCAAAGATTCCACCTGGGCCATCCTCCGTTTCCGACTGTGCCTATTAAAGACTTTTCAGTGCTGCGATTCCACCGCACTCAGAACGAGACACTTGCGGCTCACTTCCCACTTGTATTAATGCTTGGGGTCACTAAAAGAAAACCCGCGCAAGTAGCTCCTGCTGTCTCTGGGAAACGTTTCTCTTGGATGCCTTCCTCAGGCATCTGCTATCAAGGGAGGGCACAGCTCCCGATGAGCATTTTGGGCCAACAGCCTTTGCCCATCCAGCTGCCGCTGATGCAGCGCCGTGGCTGAGCCTGCGCTTGGGCAGGCAGCACCAGAGCACCCCACAAGTGCTCGCTGGGAAGCAGCCTGCACCGGGGGAACAAAATGCTCCCAGCCCGACTGCCATTCAGTAAGTAGGCAGAGGCTTCTTGCACACTTCAGCGTGTCCCAAATGTTCCTCTTCTGAGTAAAGTAATTCTGAAACCGTATAGTTATCTTTAAATACCCCACACATTAAACCCGAAGTATGAGCAATGTTACAACTTGACAGTATTTTGTCAATATAGGTGAGCAAGTGGAACAGAGAGGAGAGTCAACCCACAGTATGGAGGGAAAATCCTCAGTTGAAAATGCACTGGGGATAGATGGTACTAAACTTGAAGAAAGCACTATCCCAGATTCTTTTTCAACACCTATTCTATGTTAAGACATCCTTCAGTGTCAAATAAGAAAGAGAAACAAACAGGAAAAAAACACACTGACAAGGCCTACATAGCTCAGGATGCAATGAAAACGATTCAAACATATGGTATTTGTTTGAATTATCATTTGGGCACACATCATTTGGGCATAAAACTTAGTAATGTAGATATTGTCATGTTCCCAAAGGTTCTGAATTAGTATGAAAAATAGGCACAAGAACACGACCTGTCCTGTATTCACATGTGGCTCAATGCCAGAAGAAAACAGGACAGTTTTGCACTCGACAGGTCAGTATTTATGATTTAGAAAGATATAAGATTTGGTTAAGGCACTACTCTTTCATAGAATCACAGAATCATAGAATAGTTAGGGTTGGAAAGGACCTTAAGATCACCTAGTTCCAACCCCCCTGCCATGAGCAGGGACACCACACACTAGCAGGGACACCACACACTCTTGGGTGTAGCTTACTAAGCATCTCTGTCAATTACAGCACTAATATTTTGTTAATCACAAAGATGTTGTCTTCAGCAGAGAGCACCTTCAAAAGAGACAAAATGTCAAACTGCACCCGTTTTCCCATGTCAGAGCAGCTTCCTAACAGTAAAATGCATAATTAATAAGGATGCATTAATAGGGATGAATGATTAATTCACCTTTCAGCTGGTTCATGGCTTCATCTTATTAGTAAGGTACTGCTGTAAACCATGTATCACATAAAGCAACCTCACATATTTTAACTGATGAGACAAAGTCATCAGACAAGTGTTCTACTACCTGTGTTCCGCCTGCCCAAGCCTGAATGAAGAGCAGGGTGCCCACTGTTGCTTTGCCTTTCACTCAAGCAGCAGATCATGCAGGTGACCAGCACATTAACACATTGCCCATACCAGGCTTAGATAATCAGACAAAACCAGACTCTCTCTCTCTCAACCTTCCCTCAGAGATAAAGTCTTATTGTACACTGACAAGTTTCTCCACTGCTCATCAAAGCACTGGGAAGAGGTGTGCACATGACAAGATGGGAGTCAGAAGCTGGGCAGAACAACTGCACAGGGTTCTCCACACTGGCCCTCACCTCTAAATCCTGCAAGCAAGATGGGGAAAAACAGTTTGGGGACTGAAGGTAAGGCAGTGGTGACAATTCCCACTCCCCTTGACAGACTTTGTATGGGGGACTGGGGAGACACCTTGCAGATACCTATAAGACTAAAAGCACTGCCTCCAACCTCAAGTGCGAGCAGCAGTTGTGCACCTACAGAGCAGATGCCGCAGTCTGGTGGCAAACCTGCTTGTGATCTGTCTGCCCTCAAGCCTCCTCTTACCTGTATGAGACCGCATATGTCGCGTCAGATCCTGCAGAGACCAGAAACGCTTGTTGCACACAGTACAGACTTTCTTTCTTTTGTCTGCTTTTGCAGTAATCTTAGCCCCATCAGTCTTTGGTTTTTTGTCATCACTGCTCTTCTCAGTGGACTTTCTCTCTGTGCCTTCCCCCTCAGAGATGCTTTCGCTCTCTTCATTTTCCTTTCCTGTTGCCTCATAGTCCACAGGAGACTCCACTACCTTCAAGTCCATCGGAGACTCTTCCTGCTCAATACCAGAGTCCTGCATCGAGGGAGCTCCTGCATTATCCTGAATGCTTTTGCTTTCATCCTCACTGCTCTTTTCATCCTTTCTGTCCTCACGAATGTGGACCTTTTTGTGACGGCCAAGAGTGCCAGCAAACTTGAAGGTTTTGCCACAAATGTCACAGGCATGTTTCCTTTCAGTCTGAGTACTGCTGCCTGCACTCTGGTCACTCTCTGCCAGCTTGAAGTCCATTAATTTGCTGGCAAAATTGAGGTCAAGACTTTTGTTACTTACAGAATCTTCCTCAGGGCCCTCTTCATATCCATCTGCTTTTATTTCAGCATCCTCTTCTGCCGGAGGGGAGTCAGCCTTTTGCTCCTTGGGGCCGCACTCACTCGCTGGTAGCTCTGTTATTTCCTCTGGCTGTTCCTTCTCGCAGGAGGTCAGGTCCAAGACTTCATTTCCTGTAGCTAATGTCTCTGCATCAGACTGGCCTTCTGCAAGCAAGCAGAGAGAAACTTTCAGTGGGATGCTCTCTGCTAATTCACACTACCAGCAGTAAGGCTGCACGCAGACCCATGAGCATTGCTTCTGGTCAAGCCTCTCAACATCTGTTTCTCTTATCTGTTATCCAGCCCAGTAACTTAAAGCTGAAGAAAGATCAAACCCCAGAGCCCAATTAACAAGATGATTAAAAATACGTAACAAAAGGCTTTCTTTTCCAAAATACACTCACATTCTTGTCAGTTACTTGAAGTCAGGTTTAATATAATCAATTTAACCAGAGAACACAAAATGCTGAGGCACTAGAGAAGAGTTGAGGTCACAACTGTTACAGATACACCATTCCAGAGACAGACGGGTGTGTTATTTATAAACTCATGTATGATAAATGTTGACATAGATCGAAGTAATATACATCCACATATTAATCAAGTTGATTTATAAGTAGCAGGAAATGCTTTTCAAAGGGAATAGAAAGGCCTCATGCAACCAACTGGTACGATGAAATGTTACAGGTTAGTGCAGACGATAACACAAAGGTCAGTTACAAAAGCAAAAGATGCAGAAGTTCGTCCACATGTGAGTCTTCGATACACACTGACACACCACCTGGAACCAAAACCTAAAGCCAAGATGCAGTAACAGGCAGCACCCTTTGTTGTTTCACAATTACTCCAACAAGAAAACAAGCCACCTAAGATGTCCACTTTGATAACTTCCTCTGCTTCCTTATCAGTTTGCAGCACTGATATTGCTGAAGATATCTGTCCAAAAAATTAGAACGGATAAGGCGCTTCAGGAGAACAAAGGGCTAGAGCTGTACCCTTCCTGAGCTCCCTACAGTGTCCGTGTAAGCTGGACTGGATCCGGAGGCCAAAGCTGACAATGATGCACAGCATGTAACTGCATCCTCAGTGCCACTTCCCAGCAACTGTTCCAGGACATGAACTTTGCAAGCTGTGCTTTCTAAAAGTTGAAACTTTCCTTACTTTAAGTCCTCCACCTCCTTCCTGTTGACAGCATGCAGCTAAGGGAGCAACACAACCTACCCGGCATTTCAGCATTCATCTGCAAGCGCAATAGCTGCTGAGTAACTACAGGGATTTAGAAACTTTCGTAGAGCAGTTTAAGTTCTACATCTGACATGGAACAGGATGTGCTTGCCTCCAAATTACCTAGATTTCCTATTGCAGGCTTTCTTCATAAGCAAGGAGTAATTACAGAAGGTAAGATAGTTCTTGGGCACCTAGCAGTTCGAATGCAGTCTTGCAACATCACTTGCATCGAACCATCTCCTCGCACAAGTGATATAAATGGCCATTAAATAAATGTCAAAGCTTAGTGGCATTTCCAGTAATCATGATCAATCACTCAACAGAGTAGAATCCTCAGTACGCTTTTTCCTTGGGGGGTGGAAGGGGGAGAAGTGACCTGTCAAAAAAAATAATCTCACCTTTTAATCAAAACAGATCCATTTACATAGACAGTGGATTACACAAAAGCTTTCCACAAAGTTCATCGCTCATCTAATTATCTGCCCATTAAAACATGCAACTGAGCCATAATCTGTGTATAAAGCTGGAGAATTTGAGGATGTGGGCATCTGAAGACAAAGGTCACCTACAAGTGCCCTATGAATTTCCATGTGAATTCTGTGTTTTGGCTCATTATCTGTTAGCTATAGTTAGGCCCAAAAAAAAGGAAAGAAAAAAAAAAGCTATTATAAATAAAGAGAGGTAATTTCTAAAAATCAAGCTGAAATGCTGACGCATAATAAAGGGGAAGCTCTGCTCCATAACCCAAAGAAACAGAAGCCAGGCACGTATGAGAAACCAGGCCCATGCATGGTTCTCCTGGTTACATGAAGGCAGCCGCATCTTGCAGCTGCTGGCACAGGCCACAGGCAAGAGAGTGAGCCCAGAAGCCAAACCCAGGCCGTATCTACTACACAGGGGAGACATTTAAAATGGAAGCACAGCCCGCTGCCTTCTTCCACACACTGTGTTTGGGAGCAGGATGAGCACATATGGCTCTCACTGGCAGCACCTCACCTTGGCCCAAGAGTGGGGATGAAAGGAAGAGTTAATGGCAACTGATGTGACCTCCTGCTACTGCTGGAAGGGTCCTTGTCCTTCCTTGGCTACCCACTCCCAAGCATTCACACAGGGTCTTTTTCACCAGAGCACAGGTTTATGTTGGACCAAAGCAACCTCATCATCACCGCTCCCTTTAGGCTAAGAGCAGGAGGGAAGGGAAACAACAGTCAAGAGGAGCGGAAGCTTCCCCAGCTACCTTTGGTTGCTGCCAACACAAAGATGTATCTGTGGGTGATAGACAAAACCTGAGTGGCAAAGTGGATCTGAGGCACAAAGACCTTAAAGTGACACCAAAACAAAGCACCTAAGACAGCTCCTCTACCCTTGCCATCAGTGCCCATCCACAGTAAAGTGTGGGGCACCTCCTGACAGGCACAGGCCATCCTGTCCCATCCCCACTAAGGTCAGGAAACACTTCCTCAACCGGATGTGTGTTAGGCCAAGGAAAGACTGCAAGCACAGCATGGAGGGGGTCATTAGGGGGTAGGGCAGGAAACCATGTGAGCTGTGTTAGGATGGAGAAGAGTGAAGAGCAAAAGGAGACAGAGATGGAGAGAGCTCCCCTTTTATTGTACCCATAGAGAGGTTTTGTAACTCTTTGCTGACCAAACCAAAGACAGCAGATGCAGAGTAAGTTGGGTTTCCAACAGGAAGTATCAGGAGCAAAGTGAACAAGGAGAATATACACTGGTACCACCAAAGTAAGAACAAGTCAAAACCAGAATGCCTTTAAACTCTCAAATGCGTATGTCCCAACTTTTACATTCAACATGTATATCACGCAAGATTTTCTAATTTTCCCCTCATTTTTAATTCTTCTGCTTCCAGTATTAAAAAAAAAACAAAATAAAATATTTTTCTCATAGTACACTCGTCTTCCAATGAACCATACCCGAGCTCTATCTCCTTTTTTCCTCTCCCCTGTGCCCTAGGCCCTTTCCCAGCTGTTGTTTTGTTCTTGGGTGTCTGGCCTGCAACTACATTTTCCTGTGCACCAGGGGATAGGTGGGATAAGGTGGTCCACAGGTAAACGATGCTGCCTTACTAGCAGAGACAAACAGATGAGGTTAACATCAAGGAAAACAAACGTGAAGTTTGAACAACTTCATGAAGGGCAAAGACCACTTCAGACCCCTGGGACACGGATGCATGCAGGCTTTCTCTTCTGAAGCTGGCCTGCCATCCCTGAATGACCACATTCAAAGCTCAGGGAGCAACGTAGCTGGCAACGTGCTGACACATGTATGTGCTTGGGTGAGCGCTCTTCCTTCTTACCTGCACAAACCAGACCTGCCGTTCTCTGCCGAGGAGTTTCACAGGCCCCTATGAAACCTCATGCATACTGTAAGGTGGCAGCTCCCGACTAGTTGAGCTGCTCTGTGGTTACCCCCAACCTGCGCGGTTGGTTTTGCAGCTGGTGAAGCAGCGAGCTGCTTTGCACAAACCCCGGCTGTTTGGGGATGCGTGAGAATCTGCCCAGCTCTGCTGCAGGTGAACTGGAATAGCAGCAGGGGAGCTGGGAAGGTGTGTGGGAAACATGACAGTCGTGAAGGCGGCCGTGTCACGTCTCGTGTGATTTCTCCTGCAGTGCAAGGGATGGCTGCACTGGCAGCCACTCCATTCATTCCAGCCGAAGTTTGGCTTGGCTACACTACTGGTTTTTCCCTGCTTACAACATGCCTATCTGCGTCAACAAAAACCTCACTGGCCATACAACACCAGCAGGCTTGTGTCTTACACAAGGTGGAGGATTTTGACTGAGTCTTCAGATCTGGGCAAACATCCCTCCAACAAGGCTGAGCTCCTCTCAGATGGGTAATTCCCGTTTACAGAATTTTGCCCGATTTACAGTGCAGAGCAGTCGCTCGCATCCAGGTGACGAGGAAAGCAGGGTGCATGGGAAAGGCCTGCCTTTCGTTCACCCCTTTCCCATCTTCCGCTTGCTAAGGTTGTAAAATGTTTTCCAGTCCATTTGTTATCCCACAGATACTTACACTTGGCGAGTCAAGAGGACAAGAGTGGAGAGGTCTGCTTGCCAAGGCTACCACCACCGCCACCTTTTCAGCAACCATGGGAGCAGAACACATGGCCTTGTCACAGACAACCAGAGTTTGTGTCACTCCTCCACAGTGACGATCAGCAGGTGACACTATTTGATGATGTAATTTCTGACACTAGAGTCAAAGAATGTGGGCAAGGTAAGGGGCAAGAGAGGAGACAAGCATGGAGGTAGGGATGTAGGGAGGAAGGCAACACGGAACAACACTGGTAACTGAGCTGCTGCCTCGTCAGCTCCTGGGAAAAATGAACTTCTCAGGAGATATATTCATAAGCAAAACCTCAAGGACTCCATCTGAGAATCCAGAAACTTTTCCGCTTGCATGAAAGAAACCACTATATAGCTGTAGCCAAAATCACTTTTCCTTCAAACTGTGGAAAAAAATGACTGTTTTGCTGAAGTCTATTTACAGTTCAGGTTGCAGTTTTCTGTCAGCCTAGTTGGAAGAGTCTGCTTAATCTTTTATATGTGGCAAGAAAGAAAAAAGGAGTAAACTGCTTTCTTGCATACACAAACTATTAGCAAGAGCGACACCAAATGTGGGAAGTTTCAGATAAAAGACTAGATACAGATCAAGGTGGGGAGGTTGCTGGTTTGATTCTGCCTTCCTATAGTTTTCCTTTTTTCCTGGAACTAAGGTGGAATAGAGTAGAGCTTGAGATGCTAAGGAGTTAGTAGATAAAACAGGGTGTTGTAATGGAAACGATTTTGTGATTATTCCTGCTCTAGAGAGAAGTGCTAGAAAACCCATTACATAAATAATGCTCAAAAGTGGAGCAGACAGAGCACTGGAAATGGATGTTGTACAAGCAGCTGGCATTATCAGCCAGATGAGCCA